AAACACATTTCTATATGTATAGTATTCAATTATGTTTCGTTTTGATAAACCTACCATAATTAATGTTCTCTTTTTGAACATAATATAAGTTTAAATTAAATTTAAATAAATTAAAAATAAATAAAAATTTAATTTAAATCAATTAAAAAAGAATACAAATTTAATTTAAAAATATTATTAGACAAAATGGGACTTCTCAAAACTCAGACGGTGGACAACATAGATWTGGATAGTGGATCAGTAAGATTTTCAATTATATTTCGACAAGCAAACAATTTATCATCTATTGATGCGATAACAAGTGCGGGGGACGGAAAATTACGTTTATATATAGTGGTGGCTAAAAGTATCATTCAACCGTAGTAATCCTGCACCGATATACCGTTTTCTGGACAACTCGACCTCACCACAACTTTATGCAAATTGTAAGTATCCAAAATGCATTTCCCAAAAAGGGGACATCCTAACRAAGCCAGGGATGTGCTTGGCTAAGTCGTAGTACAATATTTCGATTTTTAATGAATTATAATAGCTATAGATATCTACCGGCATAGTGCAAATTGCGTTCGCCTGCACTTATAATATGAAATAAAACTACTAAAAACCCAAATTTGGTTCTACAGATTTCAAAATAGTATCCCTCGACTCCAAATGACTTACTCTATACCCCCAAATAGTTTTAAATCCTCTGGGAAGCGTATTAGACTTGTAGTGGGGGCAAAATCAGTATTTTACCCATGTAATCCTGCACCAATATACCGTTTTCTGGACAACTCGACCTCACCACAACTTTATGCAAATTGTAAGTATCCAAAATGCTATATTACTATAAAACCCAGTTTATTTTTAGACTTGTTGACCACAAATTATAATAACTTATAACGATTTAAAATCATGGCTATTTTTTAATACAGTTGTATACAGGTATATTAGCTTTATACTGGTAAGTTCTTCAATCATAAATTAATATTTAACTTTACCAAAAAAAAAAAAAAAATTTTATAATTTATTTTACCTACAATGGTCATCATTAATGTTTAATTGTGAAAATATAATTTTATCTAGACCCATTATTCAATATTTGCCGGCCAAGGTAGTCCCAAAGAAGGTCCAATGGGGCAGCATATGTTGCTCCCGTGTGCACACCTATTAGACAGAATTGAAATTCTACTTTCTAGTGTAGTAGCGTTTATTGTACAGTAGTACACTACAATTATAGGACATAGGTACTGTTCTATGGTAATGGTACATTGGTACTAAAGTACACGTCACAAAATTACCAGGTTGACCCTAGCGCGATTTCTCGTCGGTGGTTGGCAACAGCTTCGCGCCAAATTTAAAACTTTGTACTGTTAATAAATAATTATGATGTAGGTATTTGACGGTTATTATATCATTAAAAAAAAAAACGCAATTTATGTATGCAATGAAACATGAATCTATATTGTTTGCATTGACAGGGATGATGAAACAGTACAGGTCTCAAAAAAAACTCGCGCACTACAACTACAATACTCCTACAATGAATTGTCATAAATACTTGATATCAATATCACTATAATATAACATGGGCATCTGGACATAAATATTACAATTTATTATATTATAGGCTTGCCATTCGTCCTGGTTTGACCGGAACAGGCGGAACAGTCTCGGTTTTAACACCATGTCCAGTTGTCCAGGTCGGTCATTAATTTTTTCCCGGTTTATGGAAGACAAGAGAAAATTAATTTAATATTATTTTGTTTAATAATAAAACATAGAATAATATTATACATAGAATTTGGGTGTAACTTGTAATGAATTTTATTTAAAAATCAAAAGTAATACAGCTGTATTGAAAACAATTCATTCAACCGAAAAGTATGGACATTAGGTTATTACTTATTAGTTATTACTAACAATTAATAAATGTAAATGCAGTAAATTTAGTTGATGTAAAAAATTGTATTATATATATGTATTCATGTTTATTTCAATATTATATAATATGTCATTATTGTGGTCCACGGACTAAGATATCTTAGTCCGTGTTGTTGTCATAATCCTTATCACTGTATATTGTAATCATAATCCTTATCAGTGATAAGTTATCACAATCCCGGGAACTTTGTCATAACCAAACTTAACAGTAAAGAGATTAGAAAATACTAGTTAGGAGTTTAGGTCCTAGACTCTAGAATCTGAAATAGTGAACTACTGACTAACGAAGATATTGTCGTGTCATTAATACATTCATTTTGTTTTATTTTTTAATAATGCAATCAATTTGATACATTATTGTCCATTAACGTCGTATTATATAATATAATAATGTATAACGTCGAATAATAAACAATACTACTATCTCTAATATTCCATTTTAAGCAACATTATTTAGATCGCAGATAAATTTAAATTTAAAAATGGAGATTTCAATGGCTTCAACCGATAGCGTCAAAGTGTTAGTTGTTGGAGATTCTGGTAATTGTTTTGATGGCTATACCTATATATCGACAGGACAAACAATGTTTACGTTTCCAAAGTTGTGATCAATACATTTTTCAATGAATAATTATAATTTATAAGATACCTAATATTAATTTTTTATTTTTGTAATTTAAATGAAACAATATTTTGAACCGACTGAATATTAGATGTTAGTTCAATTAAAAATAGAATAAACACGTAACTATGAAGTTATTTATTCCCAATTTGTTTAATTGATCGCAAATTACGTTTCTCTTAACTTTCGATCAATTACACCTATGAAAATATATTAAAATGTAATGAAAGTAATTACCTATCTAGGTGTTGGCAAAACATGTTTAGTGAATCTCATGAGTAATAATAAAGTCATAAAAAATCCTAAATGGACGGTCGGAGTAACAGTTGAAATAAAACTGTATAAATATATGGAAGGAACACCTAGACAACGTAATTGTTTTATAGAAATGTGGGATATTGGAGGAAGTTCAAACCATAAAAATACTAGGGATATATTTTATAATGCTATTCATGGTAAGATACTATAATAGTTTTTAAACATTATTATTGATATTTAATTTTTTTTTGCTTTTTTTTCAACAGGTATAATTTTAGTGTATGATTTAACTAACCTTAAATCTAGTGAAAACTTACATAAGTGGTTGGCAGAGATTTTGAATAAGGATAATAACTCAAAATATAAATGTACAGATGGATTTGATATGGAACAACTGGTTGGGTCAAATAGAGTAATAACATTTAAATTAATAACAATTGTTTGGTTTTCATCTCATAATTTCAATATTTGGCTAACTTAATTAAATGTTTACAGTTGATGTAAAAATAAGATTTGACGAGATTAAATTATTTTTGAATATATTATATAAATAACGAGTCGATAAAATTTAACATCTTTAACTTAAAACTATTTATATACTATTCACGCTTTTATTGATTTGGTATGAAAATAAATAGATATTAGATGGTTAGATTGGGTATACTGGTTAGTATACCTTTTTTGTGAACTAAAAATGTGATTGAAATATGACTTAATATTCTTAATAGTTAAAATAACATTTATTAGGTACCTATTTTAGTCTGTGGTACCAAGTTGKATATGGCTCCAGAACGTGGTAAGAAATCTCCTTCTACTGTTGCTGCAGAATGTGGTGCTGATGAAATATTAATTGTAAATATTGCAATGTATTATTTTCTCATATAAAATATAAAATATGTATTACTGTATGTTGTTTAGAACTGCCATGATTCAAAATCATTGGAACCAAGTACAGTTGCATCATCAAAGTTTAATAACTTTTTAGATAGAGTAATACAAACAAAATATCCAATTAGTAACTCTAGTCCATTTGGTCAAGGCCTCTACTCAAGACAACATCAATACCAATCGTCCAAAACTCCACAGTACCCAGTTACTAGACAAATAATATATGATGGTTCACCTACAATTAGTAAAAACACATTTTTCAATTCTAAAACATTACATAAAGACTGAAACATTTGTAATATACATTTAATTTAATAAATTATATGTAATTATATGTAACACTTTCTAATTTTAATTACATGAAAAAATTATAATATACTATTACATAATAGGTAAATAGATAAGATCAGGTGGTAAATTTGGTAGAATAGATTTCTAGTACTCAATTTAATTAAAACTGAAAACAATTAATTGATTATAACACTAAAAATTTAATAAATTATAATATCTATAAATGAGTTAAAATGGTAATATGAGTTTTTTAATTTAAATACAAACCCCTTTTTAAATCATTCTAATATTTATTTGGTTAGGTAAAGCAGAATCATAATTATTGGCAATCAATAACTTGACATTAATAGAGATACCAACCATATTTATATTGAATGATTTGAATTTAAGGTCTAAGTGTAAAATAAGGGACAATATATAGAATCTGGACTTGTTAAATTAGTACATAAGTTAAATTTTGATATAATTCCTACTTAAAATATAAACAAAGGAACTTTCTGAAATACCTTGTTTCTTTAATCATATGGTCTATATCGTTGCTCTGCAATTTCTCTTCGTTTTGACGATGATAACAATTTTTTAATTGTAGTCCAATCTTCAAGTATTTCATGTTCTTTAAGGTTGTAGACTATACATGGGCCAGATACAATAACTGGTTTCCGCTTGGGTTGTACATGACCATAGGGTCGCCTTCCACGTCCACGTCCACTGCGTGTTAAACTACGGCCTAACCAAAGAGAAGCATCTATATCTACTTCATTACGTGCTTCTTCTAATCGCTGAATTTTTTCTTCTAAATCAGCTTTTATAGAATCATACAAAATTTCCTTATTATTCTGAAATAACGAAAAAATTAGCTTAAACCTAAAAGATGTAATATGAAAATTTTTTTTTTTCTTCAATTAATTGTTATTTTAGATTTTAAATAAAAATAATAATAATAATGTGAAGGTTAATACTTTTTAATAAGGCTTTAATAAAAAAACATAATAGTTGTTATATTACCTCAAAGTTTTGTCTTATTGCTTGTTCTTCTGCTTCGTATTTATGTTTTAGATTTGTTAATTTGAACTGTCTCAAAACAGTAGCTACTTCAAGTCGAGATTTCATTTGATCTTGTAATTCTTGTAAAGGTATACGATATTCTTTAGCTGTACCCAATTTTACTTCAACTAATTTCTCATCAATGTCTTTTATTCTTTCAATAAACAACCTAAACAATTAATGTAGTATAAAGTATTAGAACATAATATATCTTTATAAGTTATACATTATTTGTTGTCAGGTATATAAAATATTAGAAATAGTATACTTACATAGTCGGGGTATCGTTTAAATATTTTTGTATGAAATTACACTATTTTTTTAAATAATAAAATGGAATAAATTATGTACCTTAAATTAGTAAATTGAAAAAGATTATAAATAAATATCGCAAAAAATGTTATATAGTGGTGCGTTAAGGTTAGGTTAACATGGTAAATACATAAGTTAGGTTTTAATTTAAAATGTAATAAAAACTAACCAAACACATATTGTGATGATTTTTGTGTAGGGAGTTTTGTTAATAATAATTTTCCCAAAATTACACACTATTAATAATTGGTATGGTTGAATAATATAATTCTGTTTGAATCTCAAACCAAACCCTAGATCAGCTTGTTATTCGATTCGGTTTGAAACTGTATGAAAACAATTTTGAACCGGACTTTTTTGCCAGGATAGTTCAAAGACCGAAAAATATTTATAAAATGTGTCATCATTTTTGTTTTATTAATAATAAATATTGAGGAATAATTAGATTGCAGACCAGTATTGCTATTTTTGTTTTGTCACAAAGGAAAAATATATTTGGGTAAACCATAGGCCACAGTAATAGTTCTTGGTGGCTTTTAATAAAAACATGTTTACATTCTATATTTCTATATTTTATGTGCCTAATATTTATAATATTGTGGAAACTAAAATATAATTCTAATTATGGTAGATTTAATTTTACTTGATTAAATTTGTTTCTTTATAAAAAAAATCTTGAGTTTAAGTTTGACTTGAGACTTTTATCCTCACTAGATATAATATCAAGGAAGGTTATTTGTCTTAAATACTTTTTTATAAACGTGTTTAGGAAGAGGTGATGGAGTTGTAATTCTTAGCTCTCTTTGTCACATATTTAGGTAAGAACATTATCTGAGCTTAAAGAGTGGATTTTATTTAATATTATAATAATTTTCAAGCGACATATAAGCATTTTTAATTTGTTATTTCGAATATCTTGCTTGAAAATTAAAATATTGGATAAAACAACTAATGMTTTGGCATAGATAGTGTTCTTACCTAACATTTTGATAATAGGTCAATTCACTTTAATATCAAAACTAGCAGCATATTATTTTAACTAGTCAATGAAAATTTGCTTTATCATGTCTTTTAAGGAAAAACAGAGATTTTTACTCAAAATCAAATTTGATAAAATCGATTTGGTTTTTTGGGTGTAACTCAAGAACTACTAACCTTAGTCCATAGATACTTTAAATTTTTACTACGTTTATGTTATAATTTTCAAAACATTTTGACACAGTATGCTATTTATAGGCTTAAGAAAATTATGATTTCTATTTGTTTTAATTTAATTATTGTCAATAAAAATATTTTGCTCAATCAAAATTTTTGAAATTTTAATACAATATTTTTCATAAGTAGTTTTAGATTAAATAAAATTGAGTTTAAATTCATTAKAAAAGTTTTACGAGCGTCTGGGGTTAAAATTTTGATAAAATCACGAAAATTTGTGTTTTTGGTTACTTACAAATTCAAAAAATTTTTCTATTTTTACCTAAGAGTTGAATATTAAGTACGAGATTTATCACAACTTTTTTAACTTTAAGCTGTATAAGTTCACAAGAATGTCAAATTAATTTTTGTGTGAATAAATCAAAGTGAAGCTTAAATTTTAATGACATTGGTGTCACATATTAGTAAACGCATATCATCAAAACAATTTTTTTACATTCTTATTCTTATAACTCAAAAACTAATAACTGTAAATACTTTAACACTTCCTATTGACATTAAAGTACCTATTTAAAATTTAAATTTTGACAAAATTCATCAAACCCTCAAAAATGTGCACAACAATTTTGTTATTGTAAATTTACTAAATGTTTTATTTTTTAAGACAAGGATTGAAAATGTAAAACAAGATTTCTCCAAAGAAGTTCATACTATAACTAAAAAATCTAAAAATATGTGTCATTTAATAAATATTTTAAGACAAAATTTGATTTCCAAACGAAAAATAACCATTGTAGTTATTTAGTAGTAATTTAAAAAGATTATTAGTGGATCATTGAAACTTTTTAGGTGTATAGTTATATTTTAAAGGTACACATATTATTACCGACATTTTCAGATAGAATTATTTTGGAAAAAAATTTAACCTTCTTTATTATTAATATAGTAACGCCTAAAAGTAAAATAAATTGCTTTAATAGCAATTGTATCATAACATAGGCTTAGTAATAACTAGTTAGAATTATAGTATATATTAGTATGACAGATGGTCTTCCTATACAATTTCATATAAAATGATTTTTATCATTGAATTTAAAATTAACACATTCATTACAGTAATCCACATGACAACTAATATACAACAGAATATTACTCACCTACTCATTTGCTCACATTTTTAATATTTATTATATTAGGCATAATTAGTTTTATGCGGGAGTATGAATTAGAAACTAATAATTGCATTTTCAATTATTATCAGAAATGATATCTTAATAGTTCAATCTTTTTTTCTATACTTCATTATTTGTGTCTTTTTTCTAAACACTTAATATGTATATAAATGTAATATAATATGTATACTTTACTAACATTTCTTTTGTTACATAAAATTCTGTTTCAATAGTTTGTAATTGTTCTCGAAGCTTCTTCTCTGCTCTATCGTTCTCTTCTTCGTCCAAGTCTAAAGTTATAAAGTAATGATATAATAATAAAATTGTTTTATTGAATTTTAATGAGAATATTTGATTTTAATAAATTTTACCTGAACTATTGTCAGTCTCAGAATCTGAACTATTTGAATCTGAAGAACTACTGGATGATGAGGTAGATATCACAGAAAGTTTTTTCTTATCGTATGGATCGTCTAAATTGTTTTCAGTAGACACAATTTTACGTACTAAAATGTTGGATCCGCTCTCTTCAAATTTATCAGCTATTTTTGGAATTCTGCTAGCAATGTCTGAATTATCACTACTGAAATAAAGATAATAATATGTATTTATTAATTTGTAATACTTTAATGGTTAAACTTGTTTATTGAAAAAAATAATTGATAATAGTATTTACACATCAATAAATGTTAAAAAATATTGATGGGAAAATAGAATAAATTATTTAAACTATTCATAAAAATAAAACAAAAACAATAATATTATAACGAGATAGCAAAAGTAGGAAAAAATACGACCTTTTCACTAAATTTTAAAAGTAGTATTTTAAAAACCTAATATTTCTGATTGGCAGCCTTTCATTTATTTTAGGTAATTATACAAATATGATATATTAAAATGGTACCTTGTAGCAGTAGACATCGTTAGAAATCCAGAATTATTACTTAATAGATTCGTAATACATTGGTCTAAAATATCCAATCAACGCACATATTTAAACCTAATTTCAATAATGTACAATAAAATAGAAAGTAACGTGTGTCAATTTGGCTAACCAAAATTCGCGGCACTTTAAATATATTTAAACAACTAAAAGTATAAGTAAAAAACCAAAATAATTTCAAAAATAAGTTACAAGTTATAACGAAGTGCTAAACGTAGAAGTTGTGACAACTGACAAACCGTGAAGTCGAAGTAGAACAAATGAAAAAATCAAATATGAACAATAAATTTGTTTACTAACTACAAAACCAAACAGTGTTACACTGAAATAAAATATTTCTGATAACGGATAACAGTGAACTTTGTATAATACGAAAAATATAGGCATAAGGATAAGAATGTTCAGTGATTATATCGATAGATTAAAGCCCACTAGCATTATCTAGATCTATAAACTACGATCTATTTTTTATTGTCTATGGCCACGGACTGAGATAGATCTGCCACAGACTATATCGATATACCTAGTCTGCGATAGATCTATCTTAGTCCGTGCTTGCTAATAACTAGTTTTTAGATCTATGCCTGCTAGATCAACTGTTGACTTTTTTCCATGACACATTTCGCGGACAATAATGATGCTGCTGCCGTTTTTTTTTTTAAGCGGGATGGGATCGTGGATAATAATACAACAACTAGATGGCCTGCCGTCTTTAAACTACAATTGTGGCCGATATTGAAGTCGGCCGCCATTTACAAAGCGGACAACCTTTACATTTAGTCTTATTATAGGAATACTGATAACACCATACTATATAATATTTTATGTATAATCACCATATTATGAACATTATAATATTATAAATTGCGGTTTTTTTCAAAACTGCACATCGCAGTATTATGCACTACTATATACACATTATTATATACTCTATCGTTTCCGACTTGGCCGAGTAAAGTTGCGTACTTATACCACAGAATATATGAAATTTATATATATATATTTCATATAGTATGTACTTATCTCTGCCAAAAGAGAAGACACCTGGCGTCCATAGGCAAAACCGATTTTGATACGTAAATCTGGTGTCTTCTCTTATTATATACATAATATATTTTAAAAACGGTTGTATTTTTAATTTGATTTAAATATACTATTTAAAATATTATTATATTCCATCATGCCTCGTGTTCAGTGCATGGAGGTACAATTGGACAGATACTTGGTTGTTCCCAAAATTTTTTTAAATGAGAACTTTTGTTCATCTTTCTAAGATTAGTATAATTGTTAGTAGTATTTTGTGAACGATTGTAGGTTTCCTTTAAAATATCCTTATAAACTACAATAATATAAATAATTATAAAAATATTTTAGTGTACATTTTCATATATACAGTAATCCCTCGTTATCCATTACTATATTTATCTTTTTATTGTTACTGCTATCTATAATGATTCATATTGTATAATTGTTGTCACTCATATCTAAAAGTTTATATGCTTGTTAAATATTTTTGTTTCTATTTGGATCATACCATACGAATATATATATATATATATATATATATATAAATATATCCGGGGATTAAAAATCCGCGGTTGGGTCGGCGATAACATTTTATTAATGCATACGATGAAATGGGCGAATGTAAGTTCCCACACGAGATATAGCAGGTAAAAATTACCCCTGGATACCCATACGTAAGTTCCCTCACGAAAAAAAATACACTTGTACGTAAGTTCCCACACGAAAAAAAATTATACCAAACACCAAGGCTGGGCAAAGAAAAGTAACTTAACTTAATTTAAAGTTAAAATGTTCTTATATTCAAAATAAAAAATTTCAGACACATAATAATATTGATACAAATTGCTTATAATTTTAACTTTTAATTCGTTAATGCTCAGCCTTGCCAAACACAAACTTCCTTCCCACTTTATTCAGACTTAGGACAGACAAATAACTTATATAACTTTTATAACTTAAAAATTATACACAGTATGCCACTATGACTAGGTATATGAAGTGTTTGAGCTTTCGCAATAAACCAAATAAAATTTGATTTTTTTTTCTATTATTATTATTATTATTATTTTATACCTAAAAAAATTGAATTGGATTTTTTTTATCCAATACAAAAACAAAACAAATTTTAAGTTGTCATTCCTAAGTCTTAATAACTTAACTTTTCCCGTGTGGGAACTTACGTACGGTCGTAATTTTTCTCGTGTGGGAACTTACGTACAAGTGTATTTTTTTTCGTGTGGGAACTTACCAAACCCCTTTTTTTCATCCTTCTTAATATATTATGTATGTATAAATAATTGATAAATTATATTAAAAAAATAAATAATCAAATAATTGTAAAAAATATTAACCTTTTTGTGATTTTTTAAATTAAATACAAAATATGTACAAAATAATAAAAATTCAAAATTGTATGTAAACAAAACCTAACTTCCCGTTTTACATTGCTTTATGGTCTCGTTATCCGCGGAGGTTAGGTTCCAGCAAAGTTGCGCGGAATCGATATCCGCTTTGCTGGAACCTAACCTCCGCGGATAACGAGGGATTACTGTATAGGTAATATGGAAATTTTTTTCTACCAATATTCTGAAATTTTAATTCTATAAACAAACGTCATACACTGACTAAAGAGTAAAGTTATATTATTTTATCATCAGTAAACATTTTGTTTGTAATATTTGCAAGTTTCTAAAAATATTGTATTTTGTTAGTATAAATTAAACTTATGTACTTACATGAATAAATAAATATTTATTTTTCATTTTGAAACCTATAAACACAATAAACATTCTCTAAGCATAATAGGTATTAATTCTTCAAACTCCGCTATAGGTCAATCAATTGGATGTTATTATGTTACATAGGTTAGGTATGTAACAATTACTATACTATTTTGAATTAATTTAAATTCAGATTTCAGTCTATATAATTTGGTAAATAAATCTACTGTTGCTGTGATGACTGATAATATTATCTTGTAAGCATTACAGCTTTATAAATGGCGGCCGACTTCAATGATAAGAAGGAGAAACATCTTAGAAACCATAGATATTAAAGATTTTCAGAAGAAGAATTCGATACGTAACGACTGGGAACAGTTACGTACCAACTCGTATCGAACTATTGAAGTCTAATCCCGATATAGTGGTCGGTACGGAGCGCTATAAAGTATGTTGAAGTTGAACATGTAACTTGAACACTCAAAATTAAATCGATACTTATCGATGCACTTCAATTTCTTCTTAGAAAATCTTGATTCATTTGTCCGTGGTCCGTGTTTTAGATATCATTAACTTTGATAATATTATCTAGAATGAAATAATTAATGATAAATTGATAACGTTCGTCGTTCCACTATTTCACGAGTTTGATAGATACGCGCCATGCTGCATCGTTGCTCGTTGCCCGTTGGTGCTGTTGTGGTATTATAAATTATAATGTTATAGATAATTACAATTTTAGATATAAGTATATAACTCAAATTATTATTATTATTTTATAGTTTATTAAGTTCAGTTTTTTTCAGTTAACACTCATCCAATAAATCATGATGGATGACTCTGAGAATGTCAATAGCGAAGCAAGCGATAGCCTCAAAATGGCAAATCCAGCATGGGCTGATGCTATGAGTAAAATTTTAAAAACAAAAAAACGAAAAGGAAAACCATTAGTATTGTCCAAGGCAAAGATCATTTCAGAAGCCGACCTTCATAAAATAAAACAAGAAAAAGAGGATGTAGATGAATCGTTTGAAGTTGTTGATAAAAGTGGACATAAAGTTGTAATACCAGTTAATATTGAAGAAATTAAAGATGAAAAACCTGACTTGGAACATTTAGAACCAAAAATACCAAATCGAATTCGAGTAGGTATTACTTTTTTAAATATTATCCATGTTTAAATTCAAATATTAACAAATATGTACAAAGTATGCAGTTCTACAGATGTTTATTTTTTAAAAATAAAATCTGAAATAGGTATAGGTAGTATCTCCAACCCTGTCTACCTCAGCATCATCCACTTAAATGAGATATCTCATCCTCAATTCTTATACATTGAGATCAGTTACACTAGGTCTAGGTGTAAGAGTATTCTAATAACAGTTTATAAATTAGATTGTAAGATGTTTGCACTATGTATTTATTTATTAGGGTTTTCTAGTAAATATTGATAAACAATTTTCAAAACATTTTTTTTTTTTTTTTTTTTTTTTTACTGTTATAAACAGCCAAATTTCAAGATTTTGATTTTTTGAAAAGTATCAATCAATGAAATTTAGGGAATACTTTAAAAAATACATTTCTACCCAAAATCTATGTCCTTTTGGTTTGTATTTTTTTTTTAATTATTTAAAATGATGAAACATGTTTGTTTTTAGAAATGGATGTTTTTTTTTTTTTTTTTTATTGATCAAAAGGACATCGGCGACAACGGCCATTAGTCTTAAACTTTACATTATTGATTACATTTTTTTGGTATTTTAAATATAATAATTTTAAATTAAGTCGTACAATTCATATTTTCTWAAAAAAGACAAAATTTTGAATGTGGAGTCTGCATTTGGACCGAGGGCTGCATCTAAGGTGGTTGGGATGTTCAGCTGATCGAGTGCCTCTGTGTATTRTCSGCATTCTGTGAGGATRTGATGAACTGTTAGTTCGGTGCCACATGTTGTGCAGTTAGGTTTTTTGTAAATGGATGTTTTGGTATAATATTTACTTGTAACAATACTAAATCAAATCTTATTAAAATAAAAATGTTTTCAATGGCATACATAACTAGTAATTACCATTGTTTGTAGGCTGATGGCTTAATGGAAATATATCTAAAATTTCACTCCCTATAGAGTAGAATAACATCTATCAAGCATATAGAATTGTAAATTTGTATAGAATATTTCTATAAAAATTAAAAATGTTATCACCTAGGTATTTATCTATAAAATAAATTATAAAATTCTTAGTACAAATTAATTTCTTTTAGAAATTAATACACATTAATGACTGMAAATTGGTAAGCATTATAATATTTACAACACCAAAAATTATGATAAAATCAAAAATCAAAAAGTAATTTTACTATATAGTAACCATTGAATATACAATGTTATTGAATAGTTAATTGTAAATGGAAAGTGTTAAATTGGAATTCATTAATTAATCAGTATATTACATAAATTTTTACTGTATTTTTTATTAATGTAAAAAAAAAATTGTACTTACTAATAAAAGGTAATAACTTTAAAAATGTCTGGAGCAAAAAGAGCTAAAATAAATTTTTATATAATAAAAAAATAAAATAAATTTTGTTGAAAACAGTTGTTCTTATATTTTTGTTATAGTATATATAATTTTTTTATTTATTTGGATAAGTATTGAAAACTACTTTTGTTTTTCTTATGAATGTACAATATACTATACCAAGCTAGTTACCTAAAACCCTTCTTAAAACCTTGTTTATTGAAGTTGAATATTGGAGTATTTTTATTTACTACTTAAGAATGTATTAGGGAATACATTCATCATTTTTCTCAGAATCTAAAACACTAAGAAGATATATCACATTGGCCAACCACCCTTATAAAATATGCCATTCTTTAATCAACGATTCATATTATTAATAATTTAAATGGTGTATCTATTATAATTTATAATTTAATTGTTATAGATAAGAGAGCAAGTATTAATGGGAAGACAAAAACCTTCAGTTAGTGACAGAGTTAAAGAAAAAAATTTATCAAAAATTGCTACAAAGTAATTATTTTTAAATTGTATTGAATATATAATTAATGTTTAACATTTTATCTCTAATATTATTGCATCTAATTTGTATAGGGGTGTTGTACAATTATTCAATTTAGTTAAGCAGCAACAAAGAACTGTTGAGAAGAAATTAAAGAATGTAGGACCATCAATTTTAAAACAAGATAAAGTTTTGGAATCCCTAGATAAAAAATCATTTATTGATTCTATCGATCATAGAAAAGTAAGTACATGCATTAATTTCTTCATCAGTGGTGATGGGAAGGATAGATCCCCTATGACCTTTTTTTTATGTATAATATCTAATAACCATTAATTATATTTTTAATGTTTTAATATTAAGATAAAATCATTTGACCAACATTGTTGTCCATTGATATTTTATTACTAATTCATTTTTTGTTATTACAAACAGCTGGATTAAAATAATACAATATTTTTTAGGAAAATGATGAAAGTGGTTGGGACGTTCTTCGAGATGATTTTATGGGCGGAACTAAAATTAAAGATTGGGATAAACAAATTGAAAATGATAGTGAAGATGATGGCATTAATGTTTAAATTTAAATTTAAGTTTTTTTTTTATTTTAAACACTGTACAATTGAAAATAAATATAACTATTACCTATTTGATGATCATTTATAAATACATTTTTAAACATTTAATGTTTTGAATAAAATTAAATATTTACCAGATAAATACTACAGTATAAATAAAAATGATTGATGGTTATAATATGTTGTAYATTGGTATCTTATAGTTTTTTTGATAAAATATATTAATGATATTTACAGATTTTATGAATATAAATTTTAATGTTAAGGAACAAGATGAATCCTTGATTTGGAAGCAATTATAATAAAAATAATAAATAATAATAATAATAATTATAGTTATAATCAATAATGAAACAATATTAAATTGTTGTTTAAATAAACAGTCGATATATGTATATATATATAATATCATTTTGTTTCTATGGAAATAAAAGTATATTATTTTTGATTATTATGAGTTGTAATAAACCCCCATTTGTTTTACAATATAAGTAAACACATAAGGTTTAATTTTTAGTTGTATATGTTTTTGATATTATGAATTTGTTTAATATCTTATCTAATGAATCAATCGTTTTTCAATTTCCAACTATCTTTGAATATAGCTATGCCCAAACACATTCTAAGCGCCTTAGTCAATGTGGACAATATTTTTCAAAGAATAAGGTATTTATCAATAATGGTGATACATTTAATGGAAAATATATCATAAAATATTTTAAAAAAACTACCAATGATAATGAAATAATTAATATAAATAATGATAACTCTGTTAATATCCCCAGTACTTTGCTTTTAAATAAGGTAAAAGATAACTTTTATAATACTGAATTGCACAAAATAATAAATGAAGAACAAGACTTAACATTGTTAACTGAAAATATCCATATCATGAGTAGTATTGGACTTCTTACAAAAAAACAGTATCAAGAATTTTTAGATAAACCTTCAAATACAATGAAAATAAATTATTTAAAGAATACATTTATCCAACGTGGCATGTTTTACAAACCTCATTTAATGCCATTACAACAACCAACAAAATTTAAAAAAATAATTCAAGACCACAAAAAATTAAAAATAATTACATATTTGTTAAATGAACAAGTTAGTAAAAGTTGTGAACATTTAAAAAATTGTGAAGTCATAGAAAAAAATAAAATTTTAACCAAATTAATGCAGTGCGGTGTTACTATATTTGACATTACTAATGGTTCTGAAATAGAATTAGAACAAGCTAGATTTTCTTTTAATTATATATACAATGAATTAATTAATTATAGTGATGAGGAAATAACTAGATCCAAAAAAAAGGGAATTATTAGAAAGTTCATATTAATATCAACTGCAATGACTTGGGCTAAAGATACTTGCAATTATCAAAATTATGATGAGAATGAAGAGGTAATTAATACTAGTTTTACAGAAAAAGATGTTTTGGAGCGATTGCCAATAGCTAAATATCAAATCATTTTTGAATTTGAGAAATTACTTTTGAAATCTAATTCATCAAAAATCAAAGATATTTTTCAAACATATATAATTGGTACTGGTATTATTTATGGCCACGAAGAAAATGCTTTACGTTATGTTTTTACTAGTGCTTGGCACAATCCTAAAGAAATGTATATTTCCATGTTGAATCGAAGAGTGCCTGTATTTCATGTAGATGAATTAGTCAAATTAGTTTTTATTGTTTCAACATATGATCATGTTAAGAATAATTATATACTAGCAGTAGAACAAGAATCATATKGTTTTAATAACATTATCAGATCCATATGTGATGAACTTTGTAGTTCACGTTTGGTTTTAAAGGAAGACCATTTAATCATAAACCATTATAAATTTAACAGTTTTACATGGGATTTAATATCTAGTGACTTAAATATAGATTCTATGTTGGATATTATTGTACCCAATTATCAGGTACTTCAAACATCAATAATATCAAATATGAAAAAATGGACACTTGATTTTATTGAAGCAAATAATTTATACTCTCTAAAAATTTTAGTTAGTGCGCAACCAACACACATATTATCCAATATTATGAACCGTCTAGCTAAATATTATCAAGTACAATTGATTGACATACCTACTTTAATAAATAATTATTTTACCTCTTTGAAAAATGATCTAACTGAATTAGAGTTAAGAATGAATGATTTATACATAAAACGTACTAATATCAAACACACATTAGTTAAATTAACTGCTCAATTTGATGAATGGTTTGAACAGATTAACGAACAATTGAATGTTGATAATTATTCTTTAAATGAACAAAATGACAATGAAATAACATTGGATACTAAACAAAACCTTGAATTTGTAAACAATAACATACAAATGTTAGAAAATGACACATCAGAAAACACATTAATGCTCAGTAATTTAAGTTACGATAACTATTTTAAAGAGCATGACAATTATAAATTATTCACAAAAAATAAAACAGATTTACTTGAAAATGATACTGAAATTAATAATATTAAATCTAAGTTGAAGCATTTGAATGCAAAATATAAGGAATATGAAAACAATTTCAATAGAAACAAAGGATTGTTAGATAGTTATTACTTATTACCATTAATAAAAGAATTGCTTTCTTCGTTCTCTTGTCGTAATCAAGGATATATACTCCATATGTTCCCTTTGTGTGTGGAGCAAATAAAATTTATATTCAATAAAGATATTAGCTACCCAAATGCTATAATTTTGTTATCATATAATCATTTAAAAACAGATATTCAAAAATGTTGCGATGACACTTGTTTGACTGTTAATGAAAACAATAAAATATGTTTGAATCACAATAATTTAGAGCAAGACACTGCAATTGCTTCTAATAGTTTTGTATCTGAGACCTCAGATATTTATGACAAACAAGAAGTCTCTATAACTGGGACAAATATGCAAGATAGAAATATCACAAAGAGCATTTTAATGAATAACAAACAAAAATATGAATCAACATCTATAAATCATCTGGAAGATTATTCTAAAAATAAAGGTATTATCGTACATAGGTTAAATATACCGTTAGAATTGGCTGATAAAACAATATCTTATAATTTACAACACAAGTTTTATACAGATACTATAATATCCCTGATTGGTCGTAGTCCATTTAAAGATATTAGACACGAGACTGATACAAATGGAAGTCAAATATCACCAAATAAAGAATTAAGCATAACAAGAAGGATAAATAGAAAGTTACAAATTACATTAAACAAGTTGAATATAATGAAAGAACAGTGGAAAAAAGATATAAACAAAACTCTAAAATCTGAGAAGAAACAAGAACATAGGAATTCAGTAAAGATTCATAATTTTTTAAGCACCAATATATTGCCGAAACTTCTGAAAGAAGTTTCTCCAGTTTATAATGGAAGTTCACATTTCCCAGAAAAAACAATAAATAAGACAATTTTATGCAACACACAAACAGATGAGAAATATTAATCATAATATTTTAATCACTAGGTCAACTTAAATAATACTATGGACATGATCATTAATAAAATAATCAATTCATGATATAAATATTGTGATCTTTAGTTTAAAAATGTAGAAATGTGTTCTTTACTAATAATATATAATCATTTATATCTATTGTTAAAGATTAATGTCAGTGACACTAGTCTCTTCTTTAAACATAAAAACCATTTATTTTCTTAATAATATTTTAAGTTGCAATATTTCAAAAGAAACATCTGAGAGGATGAAAGAATGAATATAATTATAATGTTGAAGTTAGGTTTTTAGATTAAAAGTGTCAGTGTGTGTGTGTGAATAATACTATTTTACATAACAAAATTCAATTTCTGGTGCCATGTGATTGGGTCTTTCAATATACATAATACATATAGTTTTTGATTTCCATGGAAAATGTTTCAAACAATTGGCAGCAATTGAAAAATTACTTTACAGTATTTATCTTAGTAAAATACAAGCTTGAAAGTTGTTGGAGTAAAGTAATTGCTCCAAGAGCATAAATCCACAACCATTTCTGCAGCCTTACACGGAAGTCTCCAGTCAATGGTTACTCTCATTTAAGTCCATGACTTCTAGCAAAGTTTGTAATTACTAATGTTATAAATACAAAATATTTAAGTAGATATTGTGGTGGTCGTATATAATACATATAAATAAAAACAAAAAATATTTAGGCTAAAATTATATTATTTCAGAAAATACAGAAAAATAGGAAATAATTTTTAATTTGAATAGGTGTGTCTCACATTGCACCATTAGTATGAGTAATTGAAATAGAATTGAATCTATATCAAGTCTTACAAGTAAATACTTAAACTATTATTAAAAAAAAAAAAAATAAGATGGCTAATACAAGTTTTTGATATTTACATAAACACACAAATTATTATTAAATATTTCAATAGAAATATAAAACAAATAACATAATAGTGACTAGAAAAACAGTAAATGTTGAATATACTAAGACATGAGCTGAATTTTAAACAAAATAATATTACAATTTGTAATTATATTAAGAAATAATTGGTATTTAAAAAATGGATGTCTAAAAACTGATTTAAAAGCAAGCTAATAATAAACTAYAATAAAGATATAATATATTACGTGTGTCACAATATAATGCTCTTATACAATTATATATGAATGATTATCATTATTTCTATTCTTTTTCTGGTTTAGATATTTTTTTCACCATTTCATTGATCATGTCATTGTCAATGAGTCCAATAAATTTGTCAATGACATGACCATCGCGAATGGCTAAAACAGCTGGAACTGCTTTTACCTCAAATGTGTGAACCAAATCAGCATTCTTCTCAACATCCACAATTGCTAAATGTATGGATGGCGAGTCCCCAACCATCTTTTTTAACATTGGTGTTAATGTTAAACAAGGGTCACACCACTCTGCATGGAAATTGACAATCACAGGAATATCACTTTTTAGTACATTCTGTATAAAGTCTTCACTGCCACATACTGTAAATGATTTACGATAGACACGACCAACTGACATTGATCGTTTAGTTGTTTGATGAACTTTTTCCAAACAACGAAATCGGTTGAAGGACATTGTTTATGTTATAGTTTATAGTACCCAAGATTTAAGTTGTGGCACAGTCTTACGACTCATAACATGTGAAGAGAACAATGCTGCTAATCCTATTACTGTACTTATAGACAGTATAATCAGAGTTGCTAAACGCCAAACAAACAGTGGATCTACTATCTAAAAATGCACAAAAATGAATATTATTTAAATAATATGTATAAATGAAAAATAAACTAAACATATCTTGTGTGATTCATACCTTAATATCTGCTTTAGATGTTTCTACTGAACTACGAGGTATTGAAAGCAATATAGTTGTTATAAGAACTGTAGATACCAAAACAACTGGTCCAATACTATGACGTGTTCGAAGAGATAGAAGACACAATATAAAAGATGACGACCAAAGTCCAATCAAAATAATAGCACCAATACCGATTGTTGCAGTAGACATCTGACCTATAAAAAAATATACATTTATGTTAATGCAATATTAAATAATAAATCATTATGATTATTTATAATAATAATAACCTGCACAGAATATTGGATAGTATTCTAGTAATGGTTTCAAATATTATCTTAGTTTTTTTGTTAATTTTAATAAAATCTTATCTACATGGTTAGATGTGAAGTGGAATAAGAGTAAATTTTAATTTTAAGTCAATTAGTTCATTTTTTCCATTATAAGCTTATGTCCGATTACTGTGATATGAGAAATTTGCAATTATTATATAGCTGTGTCTAGGATGGTATAGAACAGGGGTTGGGAACCTGCGGCTCCGGAGCCGCATGTGGCTCTTTAACTAGCAACCTGCGGCTCTTTGGATAATAATCAATATATCGATATCCGTAAAATATAAATTATATTATACTAAATAATATTATATTTGTATAAACAATAATAATAATAATATAAATATAAATAATAATGAATTAATGAAATAAAGTTTTCCATATTTTCTAAATTTAAGACGTATTATTATGTTTTTATTGCCTACTAAAAAAAGGTTGTTCAAACCTGCAGTGTGGCTYCTGGATATCATAGTTTTGTATTTTTTTGAAAAAATGGCTCTTTCCTACGAAAAAGTTCCCGACCCCTGGTATAGAAAGTATTCAGTAGGGTATAAGCTATTCTGAACAAAAGTTAGATACAGTTTGAATCAAATATGAGAGGGGACTCTGAAACTTTTAAATTTCACTTAATAATAAAAAAGATCTTTTGTTATATAAATGTATTTATTTCTTATAAATATTAATATAGGTATACCTAATCATTAATACACAAAATTCAAGCATACACTTAAATGTACACTTAATATTTAAGATATAAATGATMTAGGCAATGTAACATCAAAAAATATTAACATGTTAATGGATGCTTCACTTTCTTATTTTTCTACAAAACCATATTTTTTTCATCGCCACAATAGCAGTAATTTTTTGAAAACCGCTACAGAAAAATAAAAGTGAAATAAGGTGCCCAATGATATAATGAGATGTCCGAGGTCAGAAAAATTATTTTTTTCGTAAGAGATCATTGATAATATCACTGTTATACTACAGTAATACAATTTTTTGTCATGGGTTTTTTTACTACAGCAGAAATATTTAAAAATAACCCCTGAAATCAAATTTTAGCATTATTGATATCACAGCAACATTGGCAACTTACTGTCCATCAACGTATTAATATCACAGAATAAATAAATGTATTCTGTGTTAATATTAACTCATTCGTTACCTTACTCATTATATGCAAAAGTATTATTTTGTGATCTTTATTAAACTTCTCCTTACCTGATATTTTGTTATCATTTTAATTATATTTAATAACTTTAAACCATATTAATATGTGCCTGTTAAAATAAATATAATATTTACGATTAATTTATAGACTATAAGAAAAAATTGTATTTACATTTGATTTCAAGTTCACTAAGACAGTAAGACAAATAAGAAATTAAACCATTAACATATTTAATTAGATAATGTATAGTATAAGATTATTTGAATATAAAATTAACAAATAAAATATGATGATGGTTGAATCTTTTTTAATTGGTAATGGTTTAAATATCTTAGATCTTAAAATCTCACTAAGAAAACAGTAAATATCAAACAATTTGAGTAGTAAGTACCTAAGTAAGTAACTCCTTTTTTATGTAGTAACTAGTAATTGTAATATACGTAAATTGAAAATAGGTATCAATTAATACTAAATAGTAAATAGTAATATAAATATTAGAATAATCATTGATAACCACAGGTTATCAAGTTTCTGAACAGCTGTTTTTACTTTTTATGTTTACGTTTACGCCGCGGTCTTCACTTCCTCAGAAAGTGTAAACGGAAAAAACGTCCCCGGTAGGAAAGTCCCACGGAAAAAGTCTCCAAATTATTTGATTTAAATTCAGTCTTTTATCATATGTGTAATGGTATACATAGCTCATAGGTAATACATGTTACATATTTTTTTGAAAATAATTCTAGGATTAAAAATTATGGTAGATAAGTATTTATATACATAATTAGGTACATTTTAAATTTATTGAAAATAATATAATAATATAATATCTTAAACATATAAAAATATTATTTAAAAAATATAAAAATGTATTTGTTCAAATATAAAATATCTCTTTCTTATATTTTGACCTATTTTACTTTAAAAAATTAGGAATATCTGCAAATTTGTCTTCATCAAAACGTTGACATAACAATATGTTCAATTGAACTTCAATTTTTTTTAACAGTTTTGTTTTTTTCCGATTAATTTCTTCTAATTCAGCCAATGCCATTCTTGCCTTGTGATATTGTACTATTATATTATTTTCAGATCTTTTATATTTGAATAATTACATTTGTATATTTTTTAAACAATATCATTATATGTTTAAGATATATTATTATATTATTTTCAATAAATTTAAATTGTACTTAATCATGTATATAAATACTTACCTACGATAAAATATTAATTTGGAGACTTTTTATCCGTGGGACTTTTTTTCCTAATATCCTCAGAAAGATGTTTCTTGGGTGCAAAAAACTACAAAAATATTATTGTTCCGATGTACAATAATCCCAATCTTAGAACTAAAGTATATTAGGATAATAAATAATAATATTAAATTGTTTTTAAAAAAGCGACTTAAATCGACTAATATACCTACTACAATATAACATTATAGTTTAAACTATTATTTTACTCATTCTGATCGCTTTGCTCGCTCACCAACTCTCTTTCAATTATTTTTTTTTGCGAGCTGGAGTTTGAACACTAAAAAAAATCTGAATGAAAATAATAAAACTAATACAAATAACTGCTGTAATTGTTTGTCTATGACATGGTAATTATTTTTAATTTCTTCTGAATAATTTATAAGTGAGATGTTGAAATAACTACTGAATTACCGATAGGTAATATTGTTTTATATTATTTGTAAAACAACTGCATTATTTGCTTTTAAAAAAATCCAAGATTCAAAAATTCACGGTTAAGATTAAATCATTAACTAGCTATAAGTTAAAAACACTGAGATAACCTAACCTAACTGAGATAAAAACTATAGAAAATACCTCCCCCGAAATATTTTCAAACAATATTCATTTTTTCCGTGTTGCAGCTATATAAAATACAATTTTGAATTTTAACTAAATATTATTCAATATATCTCTGACCTCTGTATATATATACAATCTATATTTATATGAATAATATTATGAATCTGAATCTAGGAAAAAATAACCCACCTTGTTCATATTTAAATWTTATACACTTTTTTTAGTGTTATTTATACGATTTTGGTATTATCTTGTCGAGTTTAAGAAAATTATACCTAGTTGAACCCATGACTAAATAGATTTAGTCATGGTTGAACACATTTATGTACAGGTTATCATAAATTAAAAAAATATTGAACAATTAATGATAACAGTGTTCCAAGACAAAACTTTAAACCACAAAACTGTTAAATAAATTAATATTTTTAAAAAACTTACTGGTAAAAACAATTTTTAAGTTTTTTTCCTGTGATCGTATTTGTAACTCATCACTTATCGAACACCCAGAAAGCTGTTGATTTTGTTTTGGAACATAACAAGTTAGATAATGAATTATCATATATACTTCAGAAGATGTACATTATTAATATGGTAGGTAGGTATATGTAAATATGTATCTCAATTTATTAAAATAAAAAAAATGATTAATTTAATAATATTTTTTTAATCAATTATAAAATATAAATAGTCAAAATCTATATAGTTTAATTAAATATTATCAAACCATTTGGATGTCTTGTTCATGCATCATGCATAATATTATAATCTCTTTAAAATAAATATTATTAATTAACATTACAAATATCATGTTAAATTAATAAAACTTGTTCAATAAAACTAATAATTTGTTCATATAGTAGTCCTAACTAAACTTGAATTTCTTGAATTTGTGGTATCTTTTGAGTGTGAATGTGCAACAACAACAGATAAACACTGTACCCATTCTTCAGCATTTTTACCACCTTTAGGTTTCAATATAAGAGATTCTTCTCCGGTAAATATTTCAAAAGCTTTAGGTATGTTTCGTGCACCACGACTTACTTTGACACTACGGATCTGATGAATGTCAATAGGAGTCCCTTCTTTGTCATTTTTCTTTAACAAAAAATAAACAAAATATCTTAAAAATAAATCAATTTATATAAATATACAACAAAAATCATAAGTTAAAATAAATTAGGTAATACATAATATTTAAAATTATCATGAAGATGTATGAACAATATACTCACAATTTATATAAAATTAATGCACTATTAACTATACAAATAAGTAATAACTAGTCTACATAAAACAATTACAATTAAGTACTCAATTCATACTTCATGCCCTCTTTGTAGCACAACTGGTTAAATTTATACCTACACTATTGTACGTGGAAATGTAAAATACCACTGTACAAAAATACATCATGCTATATGTTGTGTTTATTTTTAGAACTATAGTTATTTTATATAGGACTACTGCAAAACCCGGCTTTGTCTGAGAAAAATGTATCATATAATGCTATTTAGAAGTATCTCAGTTTTAGTGCACCTCAAAGTCAATGTACTTGAAATAATTCGATTAAATGCTAATACTCATGAATAATATTAATAAACATTAACTCAGTACACAATGAAAGCTGAAAAAACATGAACAGGCATAGTTCAGTGAGCCACAGTACACTGACTAAGTGACAAATAATCGCTTGCGGCAGACGTTGAACATTCTAACAAGTTGTAGTGTTTTTATTATCTAAACTACTTATGTAACAAATTATATATTAATTTTTAGGTACAATTTTGGCCAGTCTATATCAATGTCTAAATGAAATAGTGTGTGTGTGTTTCCGGTAAATAATCATTCTGAGGAGTATTTGGAACAACTTTGTAAAAAAATTTCAATTAAATTTGAATGATACGCTAAAAAACCGTAACATTTAAACACAATATATCTCATCCGCCCAACAGATAAAAAAATGAAACTTCGAGCGATGTGGTTATACAACTCAAGAAAGTATTTGAAACAGTTCAGTGAAAAAAGTGTTGTTCAATAGTGTCGTCAGAAAATTAGAACATAAAATGAACCGTTTATATACACATACACACAAGAATAATGAATATTATTTAATAATTATTGACTTACTGAGCCTTTGTAAGAGAGATGTGCTCCGGACAATGTAAAATATCTTGTTCTCCATCTTTTAAATATTCTCCACCTTCCTTTTTTTTCTTTTAGTTGACCCTCTATTACTGGTTGACTATCTTGCAAAAAACCAACTGCTCGTTCTGGATGATTACATAAAAAGCAGCCCCATCCACCAGCATTGATATTATAATGTTCAAATACATCAAAGTAACCACTATTACGAAGTTCATTTAAAACAGCGTCCTGATCTTTTGCACATGGGAATGCTGAAGTTACCAACGTCAGAAATGGTCTGGTTTCACATTTGAGAATATCCCAGCAGTTCTTTAAGGCACTGACTGAAGGATGGCGTGAACTAAGTGCTGAAGATGATCTTGCTTGAAGAGCAAGAAACATAAGATGAATCCAAACACGAGGATGTCGAGTACGAACAGTAAATAAACCACGATTATAGAGGCAATGCTCACCTCGACCTTCACAAGCAAAATGAAGTTTTGCAGTCTTTTTTGCTCTTCTTTCTAAATGTTGAGGAAAATAACATTTTTTAAACAAGTAATAATGAAAGTTATAGTTAATCAATACAAACCTTCAATAGTGCATTTAGCAGGAGGTGGAATTCGAACTGAAACTTTTTCCATGTAAGATTTAATTTTATCTAAATGTTTTTCACAAAAATGCTGCATAGTGTCTCTCATTGGATATGGCTCAAATACACTTATCCTCTAAAATAAAATAAAATATATAAATTGTATGTAGGCACTATAGCCTTAGTTTAAAAAGTTCACAAAATGCTTTTAATGTATAATTCTTTCAATATTATGTATATAAGATTATTTAGTTAAATTTCTTATGTAATATTTTAATTCATTTAATTTTATATTAATCCACATTAAATTGCTTATTATAAATATCATTTTATTGATTTTACAATTCTTAGTAAAAAAAGAAAAGTTGATTTTAATAAAAATAATATAAAATACACAAGTCTTCTCTTATAAGTAAGTAATTTATAAATTTAAGAATTAGAATTTAATAAGATAATTTTATATAATACATAATATATATATATTATATAATACACAGGAATTTTTCATTTCCACCTTACAAACATACAATGTTACATATTTTACATTCATAATAATATATTTTAATCTGTAATCTCTAAAATTAGAGTAAGTTCTTGGAGGATTTTATTGAAATTATTTTTAAGTAAGTTATGATCATTTTAAAATGTACAAAAAAAAAAACAGTTAATTTCGATAAAATCCTCCAAGATGCTCAAGATAATATTCTTGTCTTTAAATTTTATAAGAGGCATTAATTCAAATTAAAAAAATTACAGAGTAAAGCGTATTATATAAAATAAAAAATTGTCCATGTTGTTCATAAGACGGAGAAAATTAATGACCGTGTGGCGTCCACTTAATTTTCTGTTTAATTACCTGAGAAACACTTGAATTAATTATTGTAACACTTGTATTGTGACTTCGTCTTGGTGTCACAGTTGAATAAATTCCTGTATTGATT